ATTACCATGAATGTGTCAGGGGGGAAATAGTAAGGAGATATTTGAATTATTTACTAATATTTTCTGAGTCGGTGTAGCAAGGATGAAGTTGTCGATCCTGACTCGCCATCTTCCTCAGACGCGCCTTTATGCCGAGTTCACACTGCACGATTTTCGCCCGATTTTTCACTCGCCGACAGGTTTTGCGAAATCGCCGACAAATGCCCGACATCGGAGTCAAATCGGTGCTCGTTCACGCGAGTGACAATCACGCAGTGTGAATTATCAAAGACGCGATCTGAGGGAATCGCCGACACGTCGCAGACGCCCGCAAAATTTTTGGCATGCTAAATATCTGGAGCTGTCGGTAATTCACAATCATGCTGTGTGCAATGATTTCTGACTGAAAACTACATTGGCGATGGCCTACAGCCAATGAGAGACCAAGATACAGGGCAGAGGGAAGTTCGGGGAGGAGTTATAGACCAGAATATCAGTATTTTAATAGATATATGAACAATTATATCATACAGAAACAAGCACAAACATTTGCTTGACCAGCCACAACATCAGCATAACAGTTACTGCAAAATTATTTACCTCCCAACTCTCTTTGCAGAACACCCAATCCCTGTTCCCTGCATCTCCCTCCTGCATAATCTGTTTTTCACATTCTCCTTGTAGCTGGAAATCAGCTCACAGACAATTTGCGGGCTATATATATATATTTTTTAATAATTCCAGTCTCGCTCGAGAACTCCAGTTTGACGCACGCGGGTTCTCACGTTATTTCCTTATCACTTCTCGCGTGTGTTTTGCTGTGAAATGTAGTTTGCGGACCAGACAGAGCTGTCGGCGATTCTTCCTATTGTGAAGTCATGCAATGTGAAACACAGCAGCAACTGAATGCTACCCCAGATAGTCACGCAGTGTGAAAACAACAGCGATCCAATGAGTTTGAAAAACAGGCAGTGTGAACTCGGCATAAAGCCTCTTCCGGTCGACTAATGGTTGGTCAACTATTAGGGGGCAGCCCTAATATATATGTATAAACACACAAAATTATAATACCATTTATTTTGTCTATAGCTGTTTGGTAAATATTTATACATGAATACAACACTGACAAGAGTAATCTATAATAAATGCAGATTGTAACCATAAAACTTTTGTTCTCTCCAAGATATATCAGGTCAGATTAACCTGTTACACTGATAGCAGGACAAGTTGTCACATGACAATTTACCCTGTAATTCAATAATCATTGTTTGGAAAGTATCCAACCGCAGTGAGTTTGCAAAAATATGCTCTTTTGCACTTTTTACATGAGCCTGGCTGTAAAGAATAAAACACCTTTTTATCTCACACTTTGATATCAAATATATACCTTCATTTGTCATTTTTTTCCTGCGTGGGTGAATTTTTAAGATTTTTGAGAATGTGATAAACACCACTGCCCAGACACCTTACTGGGGATGTAACGATTCACTCACTTTTTTTTTTTTTTTACAAAATGAGATTTAAGACAAATTATCAATTAAATGTGTCCTTTTAAATCGATTTTCAACCGGCTCGCGGTTAATCGTTACATCCCTACACCTTACACTAGTGAGAATTTTACTAGTATTAAAATACTTAACATTAGCTAAATTAAATTTACATATTCAATAGTAATTGGTGACACTGACCTAATTGGATTATTTCATAATGATAATTATATATAAATCCTAAAATTATTTAAAGGTATGCTTAATTTTGCTAAATATTAAATGTTAAATATGTTTATTTCTTGTAATTTTGGGGTTAAAATGTTAAAATGTGGCCTGGACATGTGGGCATATGTGAGATTAAATGTCTTTGGAATAAAGAACGTATGTGGCTATTAAAGGGATAGTTCACACGGACTACTTTGTCGATCATCTTGGTACTTTTCTGGACCTTGAACGTGGTAGTTACCTTGCTGTCTATGGGAGGGTCAGAGAGCCCTCAGATTTCATCAAAAATATCTTAATTTGTGTTCCGAAGATGAACGAAGGTCTTACGGGTTTGGGTTTGTTAGTCTTGGTTTATTTGCAAAGTTTGGTTCCCCTACTAAACCCTATGCAATTGTTAGACATTTGTACATATCTCTTCTAGGTCAACATGGAACCAAATGCAATATTTGATAAAGGTAAAGTAATATTCCAGGTTAATTTCAACCTACATATTATGTCATGATAATGTCATTTGTTTTTATGGATCTGAATAATGAAAAGCATGAATGAAATTTGAGATCTAAAGGCAGTCAGCAATATAATGCCAAACATTTCTTCAAAATTTAATTCTGTTTTGAAAAATATGAGGGGGAGTAAATAATGACAGACTGAGTGAACTATACATTTAAGTTGAAACCAACATGAAATGTCCTTTACAAAAATGTTTCCCAAGTTTAGCATTAACACTGCATGCAGTGATGTGTGCGGTGGCACTTCCTTTTCCTGTGTGTTTGTGTACCTGTAAGCGAGGCATACTGAATGAAGACATCCGCAGGTTTTGGTCCCAGCATGATAAAGACATCAATAAGTCCACTCTCAGATATCCAGCGTACATCCGTCTGAGGAACTTCACTAGAAACTTGTACGAAGTCCAGTATTTTTCCAAACACTGTCTGAAATATGGACACACATTTAAAGGAATTGTTATAAAACATTTAAAGACCTAAAAATGACAACTTCAAAAACAGGCCATCCAAGATGCAGGTGAGTTTGTTTCTTCATCGGAACAGATTTGGATAAATGTAGCATTGCATCACTTGCTCACCAATGGATGCTCCTCAGTGAATGGATGCCGTCAGAATGAGAGTCCAAACAGCTGATAAAAACATCACAATAATCCACACCACTCCAGTCCATCAATTAATGGCTTGTCAAGCAAAAAGCTGCATGTTTGGAAGAAACAAATCCAACATCTTTAAATCTGTAATCTCTAATTAGTGGAGATTAATGGAGATTTATGATGTTTTAATGAGTGCAGATTGGTAATATTCTACTGCATTTTTGGACGGATCAGTGATGGACTATTTTCCATTAAAGTGAAGTGACGTGACATGTGGCCAAGTATGGTTACCCATACTAGGAATTAGTGCGACTATTTTCCATTACAGCTGCCAAACCAAAATATGCTTTAATTCAGAAGCAATGAGTTTCAGATTGAATCTTAAAGTCTGTGTGTGTGTGTGTGTGTGTGTGTGTGTAGGGTGTCCAAGTCCTGTGAGGATGAATATTCTCATGAGTATAGCATAAGCCAATTAAGATCCCCCCTGATGATGACCATGTGTGTGTGTGTGTGTGTGTGTGTACCGTAGTTGGGAAAAATCGGCTGGTTTTGAACTTCTTCAGACACATGGAGCAGGTGTATGTGCCGAAGAACAGCACAAACCGTTGCTTTCTCTAAAATATGAGTCAATAATCCATAATATTGCTTTCTCCAGTGAAAAAAAAATGGTCTCGTCTGAATCAGCAGAGAAATATGCACAGATCAAGTATTGTTTACAAGAGAAAACAGTCCAAAGCAGTTCTAAACAAATATATGGGTGTATTTTGATGTGAGAGGATGACAGGGGATGGACTTTTTTTTGTTTTTGTTTTTTACTGGAGGAAGCGTTATTATCGACTCATATTTTAGCTGGAAGCAAGTTAAAACGTCTTAATGCTGGATTTGTTTCTTACAAACACACAGCTTTTGACTTCACAAGATGTTAATTGATGGACTAAAGTCGTGTGGATTACCTCTGGATCAGTGTCATGTTTTTATCAGCTGTTTGGACTCTCATTCTGATGGCACCCATTCACTGCATAGGCTCCATCTGTAATCAAGTGAAGTAATGCTAAATTTCTCCTAATCCGAAGAAGCAAACTCATCTTGGATGGCCTAACAGTGAGTATATTCAGCTTTGGGTGAACTATTCCTTTAAGTTGCTTGTGTGTCCCGCATTAATCTCATGCATGTGTAAAAACTCACTCGGTGTTTTTCAGTTTGAGTGTGTCTGCGTGTTCCGGAATACCATAGACGTGTTCCACACCAGGTAGAGAAAAATCTAAACTAATAGACGATGGACCTGAGTTGAAAAGAAGATTAAAAAAAAGATTAAACAAACACACTTGACTGGAATTATCTCACCAATATTCCACTGAATATGTTAGAGTAAAATGAGAAAGATTTAACCACATTTCAATATACCATTGGGCTTTGAATCAGTATGAGATTTAAATGTTTCCTCCCACATGCCCGGTTTATCCTCTTCTTCTTTTATCTGTCCATCCTAAATAAAAAAAAATAGAGATAAAGAAAAAAGTCAACAGGTTAAGTTCGTATGGAAAAAAGGAAAACATGTTTAAATTTTACCACTAATGACAAATTGTTGCAGAGCTCAAAGCTGAGAAATAAATGTTACACTATCTAGGTATTGTTAAACAAATACAACAGGGTAAGAGAAGTCTAGTTGTTGAAAACATATCTACACACACCTCATCGGTTTGCTGCTCCACATTCTCCTGTCCTGTCGCTTGCTCCGACTCACTTTTACTGCAAAGCAGGCAAAGTTTCTCTTAATACAAATATGTATTGGTACAACTAAACAAGTTTAAACTACGTTAAGGAGGGTGAATTAGAGGTGCACCTATATGACTCATTGATAATCAGACCAATACAATACCTGTTCTTGATAACATTATGCAATTAAGCTCAAATACAGGGTGATTCCACGACAAAACAAACATCTGTTGATTTTTGTTACAAAAATTACAAGTTTGCTTTGACTGGCCATTAAATGTATGTTAAACAGAGCATGTGTCATCCCGGTAAAAACTACTTTTCAAATAATATTCTGGATGAATGTAATTGTGTATAGAGCTGCACAATTAATCGAATTTCTAATCGCGATTACAATTATGGATGCCACAATTACGTAATCGTTCAAAGCGGCAATTAATCGTTCAAAGTCCAATTATGTTATTCTGCACGCTTAAGATATGTTTTTTTCTTTCTACATGTTATCTTAAGGGTTTTTCCATTGCTTTAGTTTTAGTATAACAATACCATTCATATTTTTACTTTTTTATAATTTAAAGAAGAAACCAATCCGATGTTTATTTGAGGTTTAATACTATAGAAAAGCACTAAAGCTTGTTTATTTTCATATAAAAGTACGGCATGCAGTTGCATCAAACAATGGTATAAACATCATTCAATGTAAATTGTGATAATTGTAATTAATAATCGCAATTACAATTTCAAGGGAATAATCAACAATTATGATTTTTGTCATAATCGTGCAGCCCTAATTGTGTAGGTGTTTAACAATGATTTTATTAAACTATCTAATCAATGGTGGATGGAGTTAATGAAACAGCGTTCGTCAAGAAGGTTGGCTATTTTCACGGAGTAAACGGACGAATTAAACGCTATGTATCACCTGTAAAAACAGTATAATGCACCTCTGGGGTGAATGCAGATCACTCGTTTCTTCACAAAACGTTATTTTCATCCATTAATACAATCAATGAGGACAAATCATTTTGTTGAGATGCACATAGTTATGTTTAAAAGATCATTTTGGACCTTCAATACTGCATGTAAATGTAATTACGCAAGTTTCAAGATTAACATTTATCAAAGGCAAATATACATTTTTGGGAAATGGTAAATAACTTTTTTTGTTGTTGTTTTTGTTTTGTTTAACCAAATACAGTTTCATAGTCAGTAAATGTTTATGATCCATCAACAACTGGCAGGTGCAACGAACGGTACGACTATATGACTATAGATGAAAATACTACAAAACTAATGGCCGTAATATTATAATCAAATCTAAACAATGATCACTAAAGATTTTAGGTACTACAATTATTATTTCAACACACATTGAACAAAGCAAATTGTATAAAAACTGGATAAAGTGTGCATGCAAAATTTGGGGTAATGTAGATATTTAAACTACTATTGATTAAAACAAGTTAACAAATGTTAATTCAACATTGAGTTTAAAGCAATAGTTGACCCAAAAATGAACATTTCCTGATTATTATTTCCGGAGAATGGATAAATATTGGGAAATTTTCATTTTGGGGGGGAACTATTCCTTTACGTAAAAGAAATGTAAATCTAAGATTTTTATATATTTTTTTACAGTCAAGAAATGGATGTTACCTAGAAAACATGCTCTTGAGCGAGTCCCACATGCTACCAACTGTGCTACTTATTTTTTGAGAGATACTGCTGAGCGGGACAGAAGAGAGGAAAGTTGAGAAAATGAGGGGAAGGAAAATAGAATGTGATGAGAATTTCAGTAAAAACATTTACAAACATATTTCTGAATGAAATGTCTGACACAATTACTTGATCAGTCATTATCTGAAAGATATAAATCTCACAACCAAGTATTTTTAAAAAAAATAAAGTGTCATTTTAACCTGATGGCAATTATGCTGTAATACATTTTTATTCTCAGAATAAAATAAAATCAGACATCAGTCATATTACGCTTTCAACAGCACAAAACACCACAAACCAACCCAAATGGTGACCATTTAGACTCCAACAGTAGGGTTTTAAAAAATCCATTCAAAATTATTGACGTTTGTTGAAACCTAACATGGATCCAACGTTGTGTGTATATAATGCTTATATATGCTTCTGTATAACTAGTAAATCAATGCAGCTCCTGTTCAAAATCAAGTTATGTATAACTGTAGTTTTGAATAAAAATCTAAGTCTATTTTTATTGTTATAATCAATGGAGGCTTCTATTTAACAATTTCACATGGTTTCGTTGTTGACTTTTCATCCACATAAATGGTTTTACTACTGTGATTCATCTCAGAAATTCTCAGAAGTCTTTATTGAAGACTTTTTGGAAATTCCCATGAAGACGATGAAAGGGAAAACCAGAGCAAAGGTCATTGAAAAAAATGGACGATCACTGTCTGATGTGCTTAACTGGGCTTAGATGAAAGCAGTCCTGCTTTAACGGAGTTAGTGCAGACAGGGAAAGCCAGAAATGAAGAAAGTAGAAAGTGAGAGATTAATCCTCAGATTTTAATCAGGGGGAACACAGAGAAAAAAATATGCATTCCAGCAGCAACAAACCCCTTTTATATTTGTGCAAAAATTCTTGGCATCTGTACTCCAGCCTTAAGGGGTTTGTTGCAACCAGGCCCTGATTCACTTAATGAAATAATGTTTTTAATTGTGCAATTTTTACAGTAGCTATTCCATTAAGGTATGACTAATTAAGCTCATTCTCATGTGTTGATAGTTTGTTTTAAAATCTTAATTGTCATGAAAATATTGCCACAATGCAAAAAAGTGTTGATGGTCTAAAAAAAACAGGCATCATTTTCTTTGTGCAAAATAATATCTTTGTTTTTTTAGGTGAAGTATGACCAATAAGGCTGCATTTATACTGGCACACAAAAATCCTATTTTTTACTCACATGTGATACAGATCTGATATACACACATAATCACAAAAATCTGCACAAGATCCTATTTTTCACATCTGTTCTGAGCAACATCCAATAGTGGTTTTAAAGTAGATACATATCCAACATCTGGACATCTGACTTGCATCTAAACACGTAAATCCGATTCCCATTGGAATTCCAAGCCATTTCAAGACGAGGGAGACACATTTGCCCATAAAGATAACTTCGCATAATGTCAAATTATGAAGCAGATGTTGCCTGCATGCTAGTGATGCAACCATGGAGTTTATAGGAATATTTTTTTCTTACAAAAAAAAATCAGATATGGTCAAAAGATTGGATCTGTGCATTAAGCCTTGCAGTGTAAACGCAGCCTAAATGTATTGGTCTTGCATTTAGCTGCAGACTACATAACTGCAGTGTGTTCTTCTTATAAACAGAACATTACTGTGCATTTGTGTGGATGCATACATATAGTCATAGGTTAGGATTTTGTTATGGTTCTTGGTGTGAAGACTGTGTGTCTATGAAAGGTAGAAAGAGTGAAAAATATTTAATTAATCAGAAATACAGCCCAGGAAAGAAGTGCTAACTTTTTTAGTATTAAGTATTATTTATTGAATATTATTTCAGTATTAAACTTTTTCATATTTATATAATGTGGGTAGTACGAACTTCCTGTATGTGATGCCCTTTCTGCCTGCTTGTGTTGTTGGACTCACGTGTCCTTGCGTGCTCGTAGGTGCTCGAAGGCCAACAGGCCACGGGAGTTGAGTGACATGAGCACTTGAGGACCCTCAACGATGTCCAGCCGAAATGGCTGAGCACTTACGATGAGCCGCTGATCTTTGCCACCCAGAGACAACACCAGACTATTCTCATCCTGAGCCACCACTGAGAGCCTGTAGACAGACACAAGACATTCATCTGTTAATGTGTGAAGAGAACAGCATAGCTCAATGATGATCATTTTTATAAAAATGACAAATTGTCCCAAATTATAATATGCAAAATGGAACCTTCTCTAGACAGATAAGAAAACACATTACGAAACACAAGAAGCTTTTAATGGGCAATATTTGGCATTTTTAAATTATCAGTATCGGCCGATAAGTTGTTCTGTATGGCCAATAAGTTTTGCAAGCAGATTTTATTTTGACAGCGACAAGACTTTTATTTTGACAGCACTAAGAATGTCAGTGCCTGAGTGCTTTTAATACTTGATTTCAAACTATGCTGCACTATATCCAACTATATTGTCCTATTCAAGCCACTGCATAAAATTAGTTTTACCTGTCTTTATTTTGAGAAAATATGACTCCCGTGCTCACAAACTTATAAGATTACTGATTGCACTGTTGGTTAGAGTTTACTTAATTTTTAAACATAATTTCTTCATTCGTGAAAAAAACTACAAAATACTTATGAAACATACATTTACATAATTGTTCTTTATCAAGTTCAAATATTTTTTTTCATATTAATTTTACAATTAAGTATTTCTAATGTAGTAAACATGTCAAATAAATCTAAATTTCATTGCAGCAAATGTTATGTGGGTCAATGACGTGACGCCTAAATTTTCTGTCCGATTGCATTTTTTCAGTTAAAAATTGGTTTAAATGCATAAAAAAGATGCCATATATATGAAGGACCTCTCCTATGAACTCACTTTAACTTTTCAAAAAACAGTTATTTCTAATTTTTCTGTTATTCAATGTGTCAAAATATCATGTGGTGCAACCGTCCGGCCATAACTTTTTTTTGTAAACATCTTTGAAATTACCCTAAATTTATTCAAATGAATTTTATGCACTATTTGGCATGATTTCCAAAGTGTTTTGTAATTTTTGCAAAGCATTTGTATTTATATTTCCATCATAATATACAAACAAACTTTGTCCGATGATTTCATGATTTCATTTTATGAAATATCATGTGGTGCGACCATCAAGAAACTACCATTTTGGGACTTTTATGTTGAAAGTATGTTCAAAGATAGGACTTTGCATCATATACCAATTTGCTAAGGACCCATGGAAGCATCAAGCAGGTTTGTAAGTCTCTTTCAAATTTGGAAAAAAAGAACCTTTTTAACGGCTGGTATGAAGTTACCACATTTGGATATCATGTGGTATGACCTAAAAAAAACAAAACAATGAATATTAAGTTATTTATGCAAGTATTTATTTTCATTATATATTTCATAGTGACCTTTTGTGGGAAGCTAGCTTGTTTTGTTTAGGTGGCCAATTCTGTGCTTGTAAATTTTGACTGAATTTGAAAATATCATGTGGTGCGACCACTGCAGAGTGTATTCCATTATACATATATGCCCCAGATTGGCAGTTTTTGTGCTTTTATATTCAACTGATGGTTTATATACATAAAATATCTTATTTTAGTATAATTTGGAATAGATTTTTATGCAATTTGGGTCATTTCAGACGGTTTATGTTTAATCTTTGTACAATATGAGAAAAATGCAAAAAAAATAATTCAGAGCATGTAATTTTAGTTTGGCAAATATGCATTTATTAGTAATTTATTATTTATTTATTAATAACTATTTAAATCTATTCTGCCAGATTCCACTGCCAAGCAAAGTAAAATAAACGCTCACCATAGGCAGCATGTTAATTCTGACCCTGCACTCTAGCACAAACTCCAGATGTCATTTTCTACTATAAGAAAGATGTTCATGTTGTTATCTCAGAACCTGAGCCAGCAACCTCCCCCTACTCTAAATTGACCTTTTGCAAAGACCTGCCCCCCTTAGTTACTGTTGCTACGTCCGACAAACCATGGCACTTTTATGCCATACATCATGTTCTAACGCATTGAAAAATACATCACGGAGCAAAGAGGACACTGACAATGAGCTGACAGACAAGACAGAGCTGGTTACTTTTAGTATGAAACAAAGTCTCAGTGTTCAAATTTTGTCATTTTTTAAAATAGAAATCAAACAACAAATACTGTTTTGTGGCTCTTTAACGTGTCGTGAGAGATCGCTGTAGTGCCTGTTCAAGCGGCACATGAACTGATCATCTCTTCATCTTTACCATTCATAGCACGAAATAAACATGAATGAACATCAGAAGGCATCTCGTTTCAACCGTGAAATGTCAATACACACCATTTTTCAAGTTCAAGTCCACCGACGTTAATCTACTCTCCTGTCTGGTTTGTTTGTTGAACAAAAATGACGGATTCGGCGTTATAATATGAATATGTCAGACTGCCTGTTAATCACACTCCCGGGGTCAATTGAGCAGCCAATATTGGGCAAAGTACAGAAATAACTGGGGCTAAAGAAATGCCTGCAGTTAATGCCACGTGCTGCACTTTTCACACATGTCTCTTTAAATATTATCAGTTTAATGCAATTTACAGGAAAAATAAGTCTGTTAACTACATTTACGAAGGCAACTCTGCAATTATAGAACAAAAATAAGATCTCATTATTTACAAAAACTCAAATTAAACGCAAATACTTTGTTTCTAAACACTTTAATTACTGAGAACATTAAAAAAAATGTTAAGCAAGTTAAGGAAATTATTTTAATATAAATCATGGTCGCACCACATGACATTTTTTAAGGCTACGGCCAATTCATCTAGATGAAAAAACACTAAAATCACTTCATTTTAAATTTTAATATGAATTTGTGTACACAACATTCTTAATGTTTGAACAATTACATTAGATATTATTTTTTTTTGTATTTTAAAATTGGCCTGTCGAAAAACCTTATACGTCAATGACCCATGTACATTAGTTCAGTTAAATAGTGTAATATCAGCCACCCTCCCTCTAAATGCTTTGCGGAGTATTTTAACCTGATTTACAGTCTAGTCGTAAATCTATTTACAAGTTCACGCTAGTTACCAAAAGTCAGAGGCAGTGCAGATTTGAGTTGACAGATTTCATAGAAAATCATAGTGTATGATGGTCACAGACTCAGAATTTTTTTTTGCTTTGCTTCAGACTTTGATTTCATCCAGTTAGAAGAGATCAAACATGTTTGATACTTTGATTAACAAAGTCATCAAGTAAATGATTTCAGATTTTAAAAGTCATGTAGTGTATTCCAGCCTTAAGATATCATACTGGCCATCAAAAAATCCACACCGGTCGACCACTAGGGTCTTAGGTTCATTTTAAAAATGACAAAGGACCTGACTCAGTTTACAAATGTCTAGTTGTTTCATCTGTATACAGTAAAATCAGTTCTGATGGAATAAGTAGTCTTGACTCACGCTTCAGTAATGGGATCAGAGAGGAGTACATCTGGAACCTCGTAACGAGGCTTAAGTGGTTTGAGTTCATTAATCTTCACCCGTGTTATGTTGCCCTGCAGTCTGTACAGCTCAAGCAACAACCGAACCTACAAACAAATGGAAAGAGTCTCAGTTCTTCCACCCTTTGGAGCACAACATTGACCAGACACTTTTTCAGCAGTCACGGCAATGGAAACATTTTTCATTTCTGACAAATTCTTCAAAAAGGAATTCTATTAGGAGTGGGGGAAAAAATCATTTCTCTGATGCATAATGATTCTATCTTCTGCTAATCTTAAGACTCTTACTTAAAGCATTCAGAAATATGGAAAGCACTTCTTGTTTCTCGAACAAGAAAAAGGTGTAAAACAGGACCTGATTTTGTCCCTGTGAGTGACAGGAATTATTGTCCTGGATTATTGTCTTCAGAGAGTAAATGTTGTTGTGAGGTGGAGGGGAAGTCAGTGTTTTTGAAAAAAAGATTACGAGGGCACATGAATACAAATTTTTTTTTTATTAAATTAAATGACGTGCATGGATAAATCATTTAAAATAAATATTGCAGTTAAATTGAATAATCATTAAAAAACAAGATTTGTAATTTTGATTTCACTGTGACTTTAACCCAAACAGCCAACTTTGAGATGAATCACAACATTTGTTGTGAAGAAACTGCGATGGATCTGTCTATTTTTGTATATTTTGTGACCTTGTTGTTGTCATTGATGAGCTGCAGGGTGAGTCTGGAGTCGCTCAGCTCCAGCGTGTCCAGCAGAGCTCTGTACGGAGACTGACCCGGCTTCAGCTCCCTCTGGCGCCTACAAACATCCAGAAATCATTCATATACAACAAAACATCAGACATGTCACATTTTTGCATCAATCTGAATGTGGATATGGATAAACACTGTATCTGATGAAAAGGCTTTGGAAGTAAAACAAAAGGACTAATCACATCTGTCTGAAAAATCATCTACTGTCTCAGGTTTCCTCATTAGCTAGTTCATTCCTAATGTTAAAATTGTCAAAAAAAAAAAAGATTTATTTTCAACTGAGGTGACTAAGTTTATTTGAAGAACATACTGTAAAGTGTATTCTATAAACTCAAAACTATATAGTTAGTAAACTAGTAGTATACCTACAAGTTCACTATAGTGTAGTTGCAATACTAAAGAAACGCTTAAATGAAAACTAGTTGGTTTACTATTTTACATATTTTTGCATTTTAAAGGGGTCATATGATGCGATTAATCGATAAAAATATGGGATTTCCCTCACAACCACAAACCACTGTGATTAGGCAATCCTGAGCAGCACATATCACATGACAGCGCACATACATTTTCGGATAGCCTCTGATTTATGTTAATTTATCCAGGTTGATTAACTTATATATAATACAGTGTACTCCTCATACTCACTTGCAGAAGGCGCTCTGATCGCATGTTTTAAAATTGCTGCGGTCCACGGCCTGAGCGCTCAGACACAACAGCAGAATCAGCGGCAACAAACTGAAAGACAATACCACATACTTCACAAAATATGCAAAACAGCAACCTGTGCACACACTATTACTCAAGCTATGTAGAAACACGAGTGTACATGATTGCGGTAACTTTTTAGTATCATGCCATTTACTATACCATTGTACCGCAACAGTTCTCTTTTGTGAGGGAAATCATAGCAAAGATTTCTGACACCGTGAGGAATAAACTCACAGGCTGTGGGGCCATTTAGGTATTTAATGAGCATACCGAATGGGAAAAGTAAAAAGAGCTTTTCAAATGTCTGAGTCTTCAATTTTATTTACACATAATCCTATTAGCCTGCCTGAGCGATACAATACCTGTCACAGGAAGCCGCCATCTTGCCTCCGTGTGAACTTTGCCCTCCGCGCGCGTCCAGTCAGTTCAAAAGTGTCGTACACGTACACGTGGACTTTTTCAAGAAAGAAAGAAAGAAATACGCGTGGTCGTTCGGCTTTTACGTCATCAATCGCGAAAAAAATGCGTTTGTTCCACTGATCAATAATAAAGAACAGTATTATTAAAACAGTAGTATTATATATAGATCAGTGGTTTGCTACAGCAACTAATTAATTGCAAAAAAAACATTTTCGCGCAATCTCTGGCCTGTTTTTTATAATGTGTTAAGTTTGCGGTGACCGGTGGTGTCCATGTATTTTGCAGTTGAAATGCACTTTAAATACCCATAAATCAATGACAATTTGCACATGTTCTGTAGGCTGAAAGAAATTGGTGCATTTAGCGCATTAGATTTTAGAGCTTTGTTTTAACAGCCATGCCATATTGTTAAGGATGTGCTGACATTTAACACTAAATGTGACTAGATTAAAAACCTAAAACTAGGGATGTAACGATTAACCGCGAGCCGGTTGAAAATTGATTCAAATGTGACTGAATCGTTACATCCCTACCTAAAACGCCTAGTTTCTGTTATTTTTCTTAACTTAATTGTGGTGTTATCACAATGGATGTTATCCTATTAAAAGGGACAATCAATTTATTTTCTATAAATTGTATTAACTCTGTCGTAATTTATTTTATTTTTTATAAAGGTGCATTATACACTGTATTTGTATTAAAAGCTTTTTCTTAAAAAAAAAAAAAGACGTTCTTATGTTACTGGAAAAACTAGTGTTGCTCAGAGAGACTGATTAGAATTAATACGTGTGAAGTACAAGACTTGTAGGTCTTCACTTTACACCGGTTTATATCACCAGTCATTTGTTCGATGGGGAAAGCTGTTAGACATGTTTTGGTCATGAAAGATGGGATTCTTTTGAATGTTTATTTTAAGTGGTCAGCATAGCAGCCTGAAATGTGATTGTGTACTTTTTACTCTAGTTATATAGCCCAAAAATGTCTATATTGTACACTTGTCTCAACGATGAATAAAGAGTTAAAAAGAAAGAAATCAAAGTATTTCACAATACCCATCTGTATCTTGCCTGTATGCAAATTATTATTATTTTTTTTTTTTTTCTTCGTGCATTTTGCTACAACATGCTTTTTATAAGCATGGTTTCTTGGGACATTCTACCAGAAACGTACATTTCCACTTGTAAAAATCTTGGGTGAAAAAAATATCTTATTCTTAAATCTGAACGTTGAGTCATATGGAGGGCATGTTAATCTATATGAAACACATATCGTGCCATCTCACCATGTTTTTATGATTGAAATAAATTATACGCATTTCACCCCTAAAATGTCAGGCCCTGTCACAGACAAATTTGTATATGTTCGAATGGTTTCCTAATGAATTTCTTTGATACAAATAGCATTTTCTTATTGGTCACATGTCCCTGATTGTATCTAACATGGTTTTGTAATTTCTATAAGGAATATAAGCAACTTTTCGGTCAACTAGTACACAAAATCACAGAATACCCTGCCAGGCACTCATATAGTTGTAAAAAAACTGCCTTTACATAGGAGATTTTTTCAAAAACATAGTAGTGGATATATACTCCAACCTTCATCTACACAGTTACAGAGATTAATTCATCAATATTTCCTCAAATATTACATTTTTATAACATAATTTCCTGTGTGACAGGACTGACCGAGGCGTGACAGGACTGACGGTGCTGTGACAGGACTGACTTTATGGATTTGATATCTTAAAATATGTCAGTGTCATTGTTCTGTGTCAAGATGCACACCTGTAATGTTTTCGTCTAAGGCATTTTTGTTAAAGTTGCTTAAATATCTTAATTTAACTAAGGCCTAGTCCTGGTTTAAGCTAAGCCCCGTTTGTGAAACCGGGCCTTAATGTGTTTGTTGGTACTTTTCTCACTGCATTTCACGTAAACGTTCCATGTGCTTATGACATCACACTCTGACAAAAGTAATAGCTCACGTAATTAATAGCTCCTTAGCAGTGGCTGGTCGTCTGCGATTTTTGAGGATCCTGCAGACAAGAATTAGAGAATGTGCAACATGGTAATTACATACATTGATATTAATGACTTGTGCAGTAAAATATCTCTAAAGTGGATCATTGAATAACATTTTTAAAAAGTTAAAAGTTTAACGTTTGCCTTTATACTTCAATAACACTTTAAACCTATTTTAGTCATATTTACTAGTAGGCTACTTTCGGTGGCAAGATGCTTTGCACCATGTTGCGGCTGTATCATCATATTGCAAAGGTATTTTAATCGCTTACTAGGCCTACACATTTTTACTGATCCAGTAACATTTACAACCAACAGAAAGTTTGAATTGATGTGATTTAAAAATGTTCATTACATCTGGTCAGACTTAGAGAGGAATGTAAATGAAATGGATACTGCGACATCCAAGAATAATAAATGTGCATATGTTCTAATTCGTTTGGAAGCAGCATTCATGATGACAAAGCACTGTTATATGCAAAAGAAACTATTAACAATACGCTAGAGTAAGTTATGAGTTACCATCTACTCACCAACAAAGACTGCAGATGTAGAGATGTACAGTCGCGCCAGCAGAACTATTGTAGAACGCGGACCTAATTTAGAAGCATCAACTAGATACTAGAGAGTAATCCACTCCAGGTCAATTTTACTTGCACAATTTAAAATCAACACACCAAATCAACAAAACATGTTGTGGTTATAGCTATGGAGAGATATGACAGCAGTTTCAGCCAGCAGTCCGGAAGTTAGGGCAGAAGGTCCCTTGTTAACATCCCCAAAATAACTAAAATATAGCAATCTACAGCTACAAGGCAAAATAAATCAGCCTAGTCACAAAAGTAGTGCTGGGCAACAATTAATCGCATCCAAAATAAAAGTTTTTTTGTGTACATAATATATGTGTTTGTACTGTGTATATTTGTTATGTATATATAAATACACACACATGCATGTATATATGTAAGAAAAATATGTTATGTTTATATATTAAATATATTTCTATATAATATAAATTATATGAATATAAATATACACATGTAAATACGTGTAAAAATTTCAGTCTTCATATATACATAATAAATATACACAGTACACCCACATATATTATATAAACAAAAACTTTTATTTTGGATGCGATTAATCGCGATTAATCATTTGACAGCACTACGCAAAAACCTTTCATGTAGTTTTCGAAGGTGCTTCTGAGTCCATGTCACATTTACCTGCCCTTGAGCCACTGCTGTCACATTTCTAAAGCCACAACCCAGGTATCCTCAGTGCCACAGCCGACCACAGGACCATCTCAGATCCAGAGTCGCAGTCTAGATCTGCATCAACACCACGGTACAGAATTAATTAAGATGTTTTAATTTAAGTGTTTTTAAGTTGGGCATACCTGAGGTGACCAGCCAAGGCACCATTTAGCGCTGTGGCTACAGCCCAGACACCGCTCAGAGCCAAGACTACAGATCTGGCCCTCATCAGCAGCTCGCAGCTGAAACAGTGGCACAGCTGACCACAGGACCATCTCAGATCCAGAGCTGCAGTCTAGGCCTGCCTTTACTCCACACTACAAGATTAATCTTGTCAGAGTGCAGGTAAGTCCAACACTCCCTGTCACCACTGCTTCACTGCCAAAGGCACAGCCTAGTAATCCATCAGTTCTTCAACATCAGCCCAGGCACCACTCAGAGCCAGGCCCCATACAGCACCAGGGCTGACCACAGGACCATCTCAGAGCCAGAGCCACAGTCTAGGTCCTAGTAGTCAGACTGCAGATAAATGTTGTTTAGGTAGATGTTCCTGTTTAGGCCGTTGATTTTGAGGTACCTGTCAAGGCCAAGGCTCCCTGTCACCACTGTTGCACTGTGGGATTAATGTTGTCAGAATGTAGGTAAGTATTGTTAAAATGAAAATTACCCCATGGTTTACTCACCCTCAAGCCATCCTAGGTGTATATGAAGAGTTTTTAACCATTTTCAAAAATCATGTTTTTTCATTGTGCATTCCAATTAATCTCAGTCAAACTGCAGTTGGGTTATTTTGATTAGGTAAGAAATAAATAAAAAATACAGCTAACTAACACAACAAAAACATCATAACATAATAAAAAAACATGATTTTTGAAAATTAAAAAAACTGAGTTATCTGTTTTTGTAAATAAACTCTTCATATGACTTTCTTCTTTCAGACGAAGAAAGGAGGGGGCGCTGCTCTGTGGCGACCTGTAGAAGTAGATACAAGAATTCCTTTACCTGCTGCAAACTCACAAAGTTTTTAAATGACTTAATATAAATGTGTGTTTTATGTGTGTAGTGCTGCTGCTGTATGTGCATGTATACTGCTGTAAAGAATGTCCTTTTAAGGACAATAAAGTTAAGTAAGTAAGTAAGAATACAATCGGAGTTACAGTATATTAAAAAAATGTCCTGGCTCTGCCAAGCTTTATAATGTCAGGGAATGGGGTTTAAATCGGAATCGGAATCAGAAAGAGCTTTATTGCCAAGTGTGTTCACACACACAAGGAATTTGTCTTGGTGTTAGGAGCTTCCGTGCAAAGTGCCGACATACATAAAATGAGAGAATAGACAATAAATTATAAATAACAATAGTAATAAAAAAATATATACAGAAAAGGGGAAAAAATGTCCATAGACAGAACTGTGAATGTGCATATGTGCTATTTACAGATGGAGGTTTAATGAGTTATTTACAGATGTGCAGTACTGAGGTGTGTTATGTGTTGTTCAGGTGGGATATGGCCTGAGGGAAAAACTGTTCTTGTGTCTGGCTGTTTTGGTGCACAGTGCTCTGTAGCACCGGCCAGAGGGCAACAGTTCAAAGAGAGAGTGGGCTGGGTGTGAGGGGTCCA